CTTGCCTGTGTTACCCAATAGTTCGTACTTGCGAAGATTGAAGAATGCTTCTCTATTTATAATAATTCTTTCTATTCATTGCTGTGCACATATTTGCTGTTGTCAAAACAGCATTAATTAACTTTGAAGTTGAGATTATATATACGTATATGCAGCATAACAACTATTGAATCGTAGATGCAAAATAAATAGAAATTTATTGACGCAAAATTTGTATGGATGAAGATGAAAAGGTTTCTTTTGAAATTGAACTGTGCAATTTCTTGTTTTCTTTCAAATGCAATGGCATGATCAACTACGTCACAAACTATATTTTAGGAGAGTCAACGTACCAGATGTCCTTTTAGAAGTAGAAAACAACCTTAACCCATGTTTTCAATCATATGAAGCTTTTGCTTTGTTGACATATACTTATTCAGTAGTAAATTAATCCTTTTCATTTGCGTCGTATTTTTCTGATTGGTAGGTCGGCATAAAAATAACTATTGAAATACGAGGTAAGGTGTCAGCGTACCGAAATATGCGACCCAGGAGATCATTTGTATTATACATATACATGCACTAGTTCTCATCCGAGAGATGAGTTATGTTTTGCATGATATTCAAAATATGTGATAGAGTGAAAAAGTGAAGATATAATCATATAAAATCTTGATATCGTTGGAATTATTTGAGATTTATATCGATGCTTCGACTAGACTCCATTTAATTTCAATTTTGTGTATGAATGAAATATATTTCATAAATCATAGTTGAATACTTCAACACATTCAGCTTGAGATGAAAAAATCGCGAAGGTTTTTTTCTCTCGTAGTATGTTTGTTTGACAAACGGCCGGTATAAAATCAATTTGAATATGAAACGGAAAAAGATGACAGTGTGCATTGGAAAGTGTGTGCAGAGAGTAGGACATTTAAAAATAACAACTACTCTCCATAGTCCGTATTTCGCTCTTGAACACTACACGACCATCAAGTACACACCTTGAAAAAATAAGTGATTGTCCATGTTGTAAGGATGACTATCTTCTCGCAACCTTTTCCAAAGGCTTTCAATGTCGTTGTACAAGTCGATCGAAAGAAACGCCGTTTTGATTTCCGGTGTATCGAGTAAATACTAATGAATTAAATTAACAAAGAAAGTCATATATTGACCGTTTTCGCCTTCGCATTGGTATTTAACAGAAGAATTTCTCGGTAATAAAAAATAGGTCTGTCTTTGGCCGATAATATTAATAGAATGAAATTGATTTACCTTCGCCGGAAAATTTGAACATCGCGATGAATCAATCTGATTGATATTGACTAACTTCAAATGAGAATCGATATGAGTTTTTCAGGATTAAAATAGCACTACGACTTTTTAAAAGACGATCAATGAAACTAGAATTTATTTAAAAAGCTCAGCCATCTTGAACATAGACGAATGTTTGATAATAGAATTCTCGATTACAGTTCGATTCAAAGTGGGTAAATAATCGGCCGATTGACATCATAGGAGAAGAAAATAAGTAAACGACGAAAAGGAATATAAATTGGCAAGAAGTTGTCAGTTTTATTGCAACCAATTCGTTCACTTTTTGATTACATTGAAGAAATCGACAATAGCGACCAACTTTTATCTTACTGATAATGATTGTCATTGATCGATTCAAACTTTGGATCATCTTTGTGATCATTGAAGAAGTTTTGAGTAAGTAATTAACACGATTTTGGTATCATTTTAATTAAATGTGTACTTAGCAGAATCATTTTTATTGACGTCTGTTGACATGATCGTAAGCATACTGCATTTCTTCATTTTGAAGCCGAAACGAGCTAGGATGTTATTGTTGATAGAGTGAAGAGTATAAATCGCATCTTATCCATAGCCCATGACTATACAGTTTTGTTCATATAATTGAATATAGAGTTGTACAGCGACACATTTTTTGAAGTTTTCGACGAAACGCGGATTCTGTGTGGCATAATATTTTCCTCTACAAAAGGGGAAGATAAAGCAAAAGGCTTCTTAGCCGGGAAATAAATAGGATCTTCCGCCTGCTTTTTGGCATATTATCGAAACACATGAATTAATATAATTGTAGAGTAACGGTAGTTCTCGATCATAGCATGCCAACCAGCTTTAAACAAAAAGTATAATGACGTAGTTCTTCAGTTGATACAGTTAGAGTGTCGTAGATGTTGATAAACATCTTCATAGTAAATGATAAGAAGATGCATTTCAGAAACTTTCTCTTTTTACCTAGCACTTTCATACAATCGACCAAAGCTTGATCCCTATGCAATGTGGAATCCGTCTGCCATCACTTTTGCAGATGTGAATTCAGTTGGATCCAGCCCATTTGATATTTTCGTTAATACAAACAACACCATCTATGTGCCCAATCAAGCAAACAGCCGCGTCCTTGTGTGGACTCAAGGCAATGCTTCAACGATACGGTATATTTCGAGCAATGTGTTGTCTCCATACACCCTTTTTGTCACAACTACCGGCGAGATTTATGTTGACAGTGCCAGCTCAACCGGACGAATCGATAGATGGACATTGAATGCATCAAGTGGTGTTCCGGTACTGTACCTGTGCTCGAAATGCTACGATGTCTTTGTTAATGCGCAGGACATTCTTTACTGTTCGATGCAGAGTAGCCATCAGATAGTGTCGAAGTCGTTAAAAACAAACTCGAATGCATTCGCAATCGTTGCTGGTACAGGTTCCGCTGGATACGCTGCAAATATGCTGAATCAGCCTTGGGGAATATTTGTGGATACCAATTCTGATCTATATGTAGCAGATCAATACAATCATCGTATTCAGCTCTTTCGTTCAGGACAACTTACCGGTATTACAGTTGCTGGCAGTACATCGATCAATCTTACTATTCCACTTTCTTACCCGTCTGGAATTGCCCTCGACTTCGATGGTTACCTCTTTATCGTCGATAAATACAATCATCGCATTGTTGGATCAGATTCAAGTGGCTTTCGTTGCGTTGTTGGATGCACTGGTAGCGCAGGTTCAAGCTCAAATCAGTTGTACTATCCAACATCGATGAGTTTTGACAATCATGGAAACATGTTCGTCGCTGATACTAGCAACAGTCGTATTCAGAAATTTATTCACTTGAATAATAGTCTCGGTGAGTAATTTGAAACTCAGTTACAACTTACTATTTTACCTCTTGCTCGATAACTTTCGTCAATGAATGCTAATTAGCTGCTATGCTGCGAAAAGCAACGTTTTTATTTAGTTCACATAACCATCTGCGGATTCACCTAAGACTACTCACTTACTTTCATTTTAGTTCCATCATATAATCGACCGAAATTCTGCCCAGATGCTTCGTGGGATCCAAATGCAACTACATTTGCTGCTGGAGGAAATAATATAATTGGTTCGTCACCTTACGGTATCTTCATCACCATCAACAATACCATCTATGTTGCCGATCGAACCAACTATCGTGTTCAGATTTGGTCTAATGAAAGTGACATTCCATCACAATCCATCTACGGTACCTATATGAACTCATATTCACTTTTTGTCACGACCAATGGTGATATTTTTGTTGATAATGGAAACTACAATCGTCGGGTAGATAAACTAACAACGACGACAAATACAAGTGTACCTGTCATGTATATTAGTTCATCATGTTATGGTTTATTCGTTGATCTAACTGATGTTGTGTATTGTTCAATGCCTAATTATCATCAGGTGGCGAAAAGATGGGTGAATGACTACTCTAGAACAGTGACGGTCGTCGCTGGTACTGGTTATGCTTCTAGCAATTCATATTACCTCTATTATCCTATGGGAATATTTGTGGATACTAACTTTGATCTATATGTAGCAGATCAATACAATCATCGTATTCAGCTCTTTCGATCGGGGCAGCTTAACGGTATTACAGTTGCAGGAAGTACATCGCCTAATCGTACTATCTCACTGGCGTATCCCAGTGGAGTTGTTCTGGATGCTGATGGTTATCTATTTATCGTAGATAGCTACAATCAACGCATTGTAGGGTCAGGATCCAATGGTTTCCGTTGTGTAGCTGGATGTTATAGATTTTTTGGTTCGCTATCAAATCAGCTGTACTATCCAATATCGATGAGCTTTGATAGTTACGGAAATATATTCGTAACAGATACCAACTATCAACGTATACAAAAATTCTATCTTTTAGAAAACTTTTGTAGTAAGTGTAGCAATGATTCCTGTACTTGTATCAATACGACGGTTTCTGCTTTGCTTATTATACCTGTTATATTGTCGACGGCGTTCATGTCTTTTAGTGTTGTGTAGGGATAGGCAAAATTCGAACTAGGAAACTTTCTTGTTCTTAGTTGAAGTTTGATCGCTAACAATCATTTAGACTATTTCACTGCTGTCATAGTATTCGTATTGGATTTCAAATGAAATTTGCATCTCTGTATCGATCAATCGGATAAATAGCGTTTTCTCTCTTGTTAAAAATTTCCTTACGAAAGTTTACGAGACAGAAAAGATGAGCACCAATCTGTTTGTCTCATGTATCATGTTTATTCGGCTAGCCCTGCACCGCATAGCGTCTCTGAAGTTTGATAAGTTCTGTAGTGTCAATTTTCTTTCGCAACAAAGTAAGGACGCTTGAAATGGCATGATGAGTTTTACATTCGAAACTCGTTGTATAAACATTTATTCTACTTTAGATCAAACATTAACCGTTGGCTACCAAACAACGACTATTTCGACAATAGTAGCAAGTTCAAAAGGTTCGTTTAACATGATATTGTGACAGAGATTCAAATAAATCTGATAAAGTCATTTTCTCCGAACTTTTCAGAATAGATTGAGTTAAGTTAGCATTACTGGTGAATCGCTTATACCGTTCCCTTTCAAATTAACGTATCAGATCCAAAGGGCTCCCAAGATAATTGTTATCACTTTGTTTAAATTCAAACTTGAAATCACATTTCCAATCATACGGAGTTGTTGTTTTCATTAGCTGACACATTCTGTTTTGCTCGAACTACATCATACTAGTCAGATTCTCTATATTCGTTGTAGTTTTTGTTCGTCATTTGTATAGTCTATGCAATTGAGGTAAATGAAAGATATCACACGGTGAGATCTACTTTTGATAGTAGAGTCAAATTGCCTAGCAGCGCGCAAGTCGATCAAATAATAATGACATATTGAAATGGACTCTTTCTAGTATGTCTCCCACCTACAATCACGCTGATACCAGGCACCACGACGATGTCATCACCCGTCCAATTTCGTCGAAGTCAAGATTTTTCAATTGTTTCACGTATTGATTTAAATTGTAATATCTCATCGTCAGTGAATAGTCAATGGACAATTAAGAACTGCACCTCTTCATGTTCACAACAGATCTCTGCTGATCCAAACATCATTACAACATTCACTGAACTGTTTGTTCCTGCTCGCACTCTGCCTTATGGTCTCTACGAATTCAACCTCACTATCACCATGCTTAATATGACGAATGTTTCTGCATCGTCCGTTGTTTATGTTCAAATCACACCATCAGGCATAACAGCTAATCTAGTTCAGTATGGCACATCGATGATCACGCATGGCACCGGACAAAATCTTCAGCTAGATCCTGGAAATTATTCTATTGATGCTGATGGGGCTATATTTGATGCTTCAGTATAAACTTTGACATAGAAGTCATCATTCCGCACCTGGTCATCTTATCATTTGTTTAGAACTGGAAATACAAATACTATTGCCGAATCTATGGTTCATTCACGTTTCCGAATCTGCAAGGTTCCCTATTGACAGTGGACGATCCAAGAAATGATTCATACAATCCATCTTGTTTGTCCAACCGAAATGGATGGAGATTTGACAACTCACTCAACTCATCATTCACCATTCTTGCTAACTCACTTCGATCTAATCGAACCTATCAGTTCATGGTTCAGATGGAAAATCGTCGCAATGCTTCATTGCAAGCAACTGGTTATGTTCTTGTGAAAGTGGATGACACTCGTCCATTCATGATCTTGATTGGGTATCGCTATCTTTTCTTCTCTCGTTTGTCGTGATTGTGACTGATTGATTGTAGTTGTGTGATCTGGACAATGTGTGAGGCGAATCTCGAGTTTCAGCTTGTAAATCCAACCACTCAAGTGGCTTTGTTTTCAGTTTGTGCTGGAAACTATTCAACAGTCCAAAACATCACATGGTCTGTTTATTTCAGTAGCAATACAATGAACTCATCATCAAACTTCACCCAATGGTCTTTGTTCAATCAGACTACTACTTATGATAATATCTGGTTTTTTGGTAAACTAAATCGTTTGATTTTGTGCCAAAGGAGATCTGAGTACATGTTGTAGGAAGAAATACGAGTAACTTCACAGCAACAAATCAGTTGTTTCTGTCAAATCCACAAACTGAGCTTTGGCGATTTGAAGTTGTTTATAGTTTTGCAACGGAGAAAAGCGTGAGTTCATTGAACTTTGTTATCAATCAGCCACCATCCAATGGATCATGTATGGTTGATCCTATGAATGGAACGACAACTACTTTGTTCACGGTTTCATGCAAGGACTTTTTTGACACAGATGGAATAAAAGATTACACCGTCTACAGTATATAAAAGTCTTTTCCAAAGCGAATACGAAATATTTTTGTATTTTCTTAGGTTACGCAATGAATTCAACGAAGAAAACTATCGTTGCCTATTCCAATGCGCCTACATTACAGTTATATCTACCAACTGGTGATAATCAAACGTCATTACTTTACTTGACTGTCCAAGTGCGAGACCAACTAGATTGTGTTACAGAGGCGAACACTGTATCAGTTACTGTACTTCCTAATTTGATGATAATCGATGATGTAATGCTCCACATTCTAAACTCATCGAACACTGATAATACTAATGCAATAAATCAGATGCTTGCCAGTAAAAATCAAAACCTAGTTGTGCAAGTGATAAGTTCAGTATCGCAGCAACTCAATGAAATTAGTAACGAAAATATCAACGAAGCTATCTCAGGTCAGTTTTTTTTCACTTATAAATCGTTCAAGCTGATTAACCCTGCATCTTTATTATTTAGATGGTATTCCAGCTGCAAGTATATCTGTATCATCATTAGATATTCAGAATCAACATCAGACGTTGCCAACGCCATTCAATCAATCCGCATTGGATGAATTCAGCGCTCGATTAAACTCTCGTGCATCAGCTCGCGACTATCTTGTCACCTTCCTCACGAATCTCCCTATAACAACATCGAATAGTATCAAACTGCAAGCATCATCATTAGCACAGTTCACAAAATCAACCAATGAATTGACGCGAACAACTCTCGTATGATTTCATTCTCTCTTTTCCTTTCACAATCAAATGTGCTGTAGACAAGTGTATCGGACCGATGTTATCAGTTGGGATTAGCTTTGGACTCAATGAAAATGAACATCGCCTTTGAAGACGTTCAACTTGCTGCACCTGATCTCCTTCAATGTGCTGCTAATATACTAAACGTAAGAATCTTTTTGTGAATCTAAATTGAAAATATATCTAGTAATTTTAGGCCGTAAATGCACCTTTACAAGCACGAACCACTATTCTTGACTCCGATTCTGTCGTAGCTACAGAGTTTCCCGAAGACTATGATACCGATCTAGAAGCGGAGTGGGCTAATTCGCGTAAAACATATTCCCATTTTATCCTATAATTCCTAATCTGCAATATCTAGGTATGTTTGCCGCTGGTGATGATTTCTCATTGGAAACAATACAAACGAATCGCAACCTCTACTATCATCAGCAACAACTAGCTCATCAAATCAACATTCAAATGACTGAACTCATCTCACTATTGACTTCAACATTGAACATTCATCTCAATATTGGACAAGATTTTCACATCCAGACATCGCAAGTCATCATGACGTTAGAGACCAAATCTTCACAATCACTTGCAAATCACTTCACAAAAACCATCGGCGGTGGTCAAGTTCAACTTCCCAATAACTTCGCGTCTTATCTTGGCACAAACGAAAAGATCTCCATTCGAGTGAGTTTCTCACTGCTGTTCGTACAAGTGACTGACTCTTTGTTCTTTAGTCAATCATGGAACCATTGGCACCATTCGGCAACTCCAAATCAACATCCAACACCAATCTATCTCGATCACTCTCATTCTCCATTCTTAATCAAGATCAAAACGAAGTTTCAATTCAAACAGCAAATAATCAGTCAATCGAACTTATCATTCCGCGTGATCCCAATCTCATCATTCCACCAATGATCCATCAGAATGTCACATCACTCAACTCCACTTCTCCTCACCAACTCCTCTTCTATTTCCAATATGTGAGTTTGTCATCATCATCACTGGCAGTTTCAGTTCATTGGGAAGTGGAACCATCGAGTACAAGTCTCGCTTACTTGTTTGTCTATCGTTTCGATCAGACACCACAACTCAACACGTCAATCAATCACATCGATGGATGGACACTTTTTTGTCCTTCTAATCTCCCAAATGACAGTGTGTACACTTATTATGTCGATAATCAACAAACAAACGGTCATCAGTCGATCATCTTTGGTTTGAGAGAACTCAATACAACTGAAACCATTCAACATTGTTCAAACACATCACTCACACATCCTCCCATCACAGATCAACCATTCAACTTCACCTCAGACTATGGACTCAGAATCTACACATCTGGCTGCTATTATCTCGACGAGAATCAGCAGTGGAAGTCAGATGGACTCGTTGTTGGGCCATTGACTAATCACAGTCAAACTCAATGTTATTCCACTCATCTGACAACATTTGCAGGTGGATTTGTTGTTTTACCTAACACAATCGACTGGAATTATGTGTTTGTCAACGGTGACTTCGTGAAGAATAAAACAGTTTATTTGACAGTGATTGTTGCTTGTGTGATCTATGTGGTTCTGATGATTTGCGCACGATATTATGACAAGGAAGATGTGCAGATGTCGAATATTACAATGTTGCCTGACGACAAGAATGATATTCGTCGTCATATTCTGCAGCGAGGTGGATTTGATGTCTTGATGAGTGTTCCCAAGTCATTGGGACTGTTGAATTACATTTGCAAAGATTCATTATCATCGTGGTTTCTGAAAAATATCACCCTTTGTGTTTTTCAACGATGGTTCGCTGTTAAGAAACATGATGGAAAGATCGAACGTGCTCTAACCGTTGCAAACGAATTGGAGAACAGTCAATTCGCTCGTGTCCACCGTTTGCGTGATGAACGATCGAGAAAGATGCAAATGTGTTCTGTCATTCATGAAATAATGCTGCGTGCGTGTTTTTTGTCAGTAGTTTATGTGTTGATCTATTCGAGCCGAAATTCAAATGCATTTCATCAGGTGCATCATCTCAGAAGATATTTCCTCAATCCAACACAAGCTGATCTTGATTATACAAAAGTTAGCTTTCTAGTGGAGCTTAATCTCATTGTCTGTTGTGAAATGATTTAGATTTCAACTGTCGGTGATCTTCGTGCTCAGCAGTGGTGCAATGGCGATCGACAATTATATGCATTTGAACGGCAGAATCAATCGTCACTACAAGATGAATGCGATATTCTTATTTACGTTGAAAACATTTCTGAGATCGATAGGTCATTTTTTCTGTTGAAGTTGTCCAAAAAGCAAATGTCTTTGTGATCGTTTTAGCTTTAAAAAGTTGACAAAAATAGGAACTCAAGCCGAACGAGATTTACAGAACCGTGGAAAATGCCATTGCTCGGTTAAACACTTTTCTGGAAAGATGGACCAGCTGTTAATTGATTTGAATCAGGTATATTTTGCTAATGAGCACCAGAGTAATCACACATCTAATTGCTGATGTTTGTAGATTTACACGGATAATAAGTGAGAACAGTTGTTTCAAAAAGAAACATTGACGTATACATCGTATATATTCCTATCCATCGCTTCTTGTGATAATGTTGTTTGTGGTTGACGTTCATTCACGATAAATAAATTTCGTCGTTCTTATCATCATAGATTCTCTATGTCCATCATCTAGAACATCTAGGATCCAACAGGCAATTATTCGTCTTTGTATGTCTCGTACAGAATTGAGTACTTCGTACTTTATTCTTTCTTCTTTTCCATAAAACAAATCCTCCGAAATGAGAGGAAATAAAAATAGATTGTGCACGATGGAACACCCTCAACATCCATGAATGTAACTGTAAAGAAGCAAATGTATCTGTTCTAGACGAAAACAAAACATCAAAACACATTGCTGCAAAAGGATATGAAGGCAAGACCGTTGTGAATGAAAGAAATTCTAATAAATTCCGATAATCGCATTTGGCGTTTTTTTCATCTCCACGTAAAAGATCTATTGATTTTCTCCCCTCTAAAGAACACAAAACTTTAAAGCATTGAAATAAAATTGCGCCTTATCTGTCTTTCATATCTTTAAGAAACATTGAAGTTTCACGGAGAAGAAGATGGATATCTCTTTCTAACTGAAAAGCGAACTTTATTGAGTATGAGATTCGAATAAATAAAGAGAAAGAAGACCACTGGGTTAAGAGGAATGGTTAATTTTACAGTGTAGTGAGGAATAAAAGAATGTATTAGTTTGAGTTTATAAGCCTGGAACAACAGTTGGACCTAAATACACCGGTTGAGCACCAACGACTTTAATCTTCCATGCTGTTGTATCTAAAATGACAGTAATATTATTGACTCTTATCGGTGTACCTGTGCCATTGGTACAAGGAGGATCCACTCCATTTGCAGGCTTTGGTTTGTTGATAGGTGCTTGGATAACGCCTTTGCCATCGTCCATCGCATTACTACAAGCATTGGCGGTGTAAACATTACCAACTGTATTATTGGCAATAATGGATTGCGACAATGTCAACGTGTCAGTACAAGCCGCAAAAGCTGCACCAAGCACACCAGCATAATTGTTGGCAACTGTTAGACCAGACAAGGTACCTGTAACTGGCTTGGAACAGAAGAATGCGCCACCAATTTGAGTGTTAGCTCGATTTCCTATTAAATTAACACTGCTTAATTCGACAGCTTTTTCATTGGAGAAGAACAGAGCGCCAGCTGTTGTCGCTGAATTGTTAAAAATAGTAGCATTACGAATTCTTGCTGTACCACCCTGAATATATAATGCACCTGCTGCACCATTACCACTTTGAACAACAAGGTTACTATCAATTAATACATTATCGAAATTGTTCTGTTCATCACCATTGTAAGACACACGAAAGAATGTTCCACCGAATTTGTTTGCCTGGTTTCTAGTAAATCTTGTTCCGCATATGGTATTATTTCGACCTCTGCCATCGAAACTGATAGCACCACCGTTTCCACCCAGACCGGGATTTCCGTCCTTGCCTGTCGCTTGATTGCCTTCAAAATGGCTGTTATAAATCATCAGTCCGCTACCGAGAATACCTAATCCGCCTCCATTCGAGCATTTGTTTCCGAGAAATACACTGCTAATCACAGTTGTATCACCGCCACCGAGGGTCCAGACGGCACCACCGGCTGTATCTTGACCAGTAACAGCACCTGTGTTGTTCTCAAAGACACAATTGATAATTTTAGTTGTGCCGCCATTTTTTTGTAAGATAGCACATCCACCGCCATTGTCTTGACAATATCCGTTGATAAGTCGAAGTCGTTGAACGGTAAATATTGGTGTTGCATTTCCATAAAACAAGCNAGCTTAACGGTATTACAGTTGCAGGAAGTACATCGCCTAATCGTACTATCTCACTGGCGTATCCCAGTGGAGTTGTTCTGGATGCTGATGGTTATCTATTTATCGTAGATAGCTACAATCATCGTATCGTAGGATCGAATCCAAATGGTTTCCGTTGTATAGTTGGATGTAGTGGTATAGGCAATTCACCAGATCGATTGCGATATCCGACATCGATGAGTTTTGATATGTATGGGAACATGTTCGTCACTGATACCAGTAATAGTCGTATTCAGAAGTTTAACTGCTCCACGGAGTCATATGGTAAGTAGGTCAGGACAAAGATGTCAGAAACAATGCACTAGTAAGTATGCTGTTTTTTTATCTGATAACATATCAATTTGCCAGAATTTACGCAACTGTATGATGTGTTCTCACACAGAATAACATTAACGAGAGAAATTTTCATCGTCGTTACGAGATTAGCTATTGCTCTAAAGTTTTCTTCTGTGTTTTAGAAACCACGGGCACTGCAAGCCTGTATAGTGGTAACGAGAACATTTACGTCCCCTCACTAAAAATAAAATGAATTTTAGGAAATACAATGTCGACCACAGCTCAATTTAATCTGCTAACCACAATTACTACACAATCCACTGTCGTAACAACGTCTCCAGTGCAAACCGGTAATCGTCCGAAGAGGGATCTTAATCTGTCGCTGTAACGTCATTTATATAGATTTCCTTCTTTAACCGTTTCTTCACTCTGGAGATTGTACAATAATCTTATAGATATAGATTTTCTTCGCACGTTTATTTTTCTGAATCTTCCCTTTCATTTAGTTCCTTCATACAATCGACCGAAGCTAGATACACATCCAATGTGGAGTGCTAACGCAATCACTTTTGCTACCAGCAGTACCGTGGGATCATCACCTTACGGTATCTTCATCACCATCAACAACACCATCTATGTTGCCGATCGAACCAACTATCGTGTTCAGATTTGGTCTAATGGAAGTGACATTCCATCACAATCCATCTACGGTACCTATATGAACTCATATTCACTTTTTGTCACGACCAATGGTGATATTTTCGTTGATAATGGATACTATAATGGTCGAGTAGATAAACGAACAACAATAACAAATACAAGTGTACCTGTCATGTATATTAGTTCATCATGCTTTGGTTTATTTGTTGATCTGACTGATACTCTCTATTGTTCAATGAGCAATTACCATCAAGTCATTGCAAAATCATTACAGAGTAGTTCCAATATCATTACAACAATAGCAGGCACTGGTTGCTATGGATCCACTTCATATCAACTCTATTATCCTATGGGAATATTTGTGGATACCAATTCTGATCTATATGTAGCAGATCAATACAATCATCGTATTCAGCTCTTTCGTTCAGGACAACTTACCGGTATTACAGTTGCTGGGAGTACATCGATCAATCTTACTATTCCACTTTCTTACCCGTCTGGAATTGCCCTCGACTTCGATGGTTACCTCTTTATCGTCGATAAATACAACCATCGCATTGTTGGATCAGATTCAAGTGGCTTTCGCTGCGTTGTTGGATGCACTGGTAGAGCAGGTTCGAGCTCAAATCAGTTGTACTATCCAACATCGATGAGTTTTGACAATCATGGAAACATGTTCGTCACTGATACTAGTAATAGTCGTATTCAGAAATTTATTCACTTGAATAATAGTCGCGGTAAGTTGCTCAGGATATGATTGTAGATGTTAGTTTAGCGAGTTGCTTTCGTTTCTTCGTTGTAAATGTATAGGAATGAAGTATGTACCATGAAAACCAGTTATGTACCAAAAAGTCTTCTGCAAAACTGAAGTTCACTAATAAAAAGACATATTTTGATGTATTCTTTCTTTGCATGATATAAAAACGTGGTGACTAGTTTGATAAATTTCAGAAACGCCTCATTTTGATGAGATCTACGATCATGATTTAATGTCGTGTGATATCATTTCTATGAGTTTTGTTTCATAGGCGGCATAGAACATAATTAGTATATAACACACTGACACTTCGAATTGCGTTTTCCAGTTGCCTAACTGAATCAAAGATCGTTTGATTTATCTGTTAGATTTACTGCACATTGTTTTTCCTTGATTCCTCGGGTGAACATACAACCACTATTAAAAACAGTCATCAACGCTTTCACTTTCGAAATTGTTATTCTAAAGGAATCTTATTGTATTTTAGTTCCATCATACAACCAACCCAAACTTTGCTCGGACGCTTCGTGGAATCCAAATGCAACTACATTTGCTGCTGGAGGAAATAATATAATTGGTTCGTCACCTTACGGTATCTTCATCACCATCAACAACACCATCTATGTTGCCGATCGAACCAACTATCGTGTTCAGATTTGGTCTAATGGAAGTGACATTCCATCACAATCCATCTACGGTACCT